ACGTCCCCACCCTCAGTTTCTCTTTTCTCTACAGGCCTTCTGCCCTTTCAGCCTTTCTCTCTCAGGTCTCATCTCCACCCTCTTAACTCTCTGTGCCCCCTCTCCTACCTTGTTCCCTCTCTTCAGCCAGTACCTCTGTCTGTTAGATCTCCCCTTCCGAGTGAGATTTATGCATCCCAACCAGTGCCTGGCCCAGCGGAAGACACACCCTATCAGAGACTGCCAACCCTTGACACTATGAAAAATACTCTGCTAAGCTTGCAGACAGGAGTCTGTCAGAATTGTTCTCTGAGAGGCTCCACCGAGCAGCACCTCAAAACAGATGCTGAGACTCACAGCTAAACATTGGTCGATATGCAGGGAGTCTTGGGGACTAGTGGGAGGAAAGAGAAAAGGAGATGACAGGAGCTCCAAAGAAAAACAACAGAGCCAACTAACCAGGGCCCAGAGGGGTTTGCTGAGACTGAAGCATCAATGAAGGACCATGCATGAGCTGGACCCAGGCCCCTACACAGATGTAGCAGATGGGCAGCTTAGGCTCCATGTGGGTCTTCTAGTAAGGGAAGTGGGACTGCATGGACTCACTTGCCAGCTTTTAGGTCACTTTCCCCTGGCTGAACTCCCTGGACAGACCACAGGGGAAGATGGGCAGGATGGGAAAGGGAGCTCCCCTTTTCTGAGGAAAAAGGGGGGGAGGGATGGTAGGGCTGGGAGGGGAGAAAAGAATGGGTTACAGGATGTAAAGTGAATAGAATAAATAAGTGAGAAAAAAAGAAATACTATAAAGGTCTATGTCGTGAAGGCAAACATCTGACTAACTGAAATTCCCAGGTCTCTACATAATTAAAACTAATATTTGAAACATTGCTTATCCTTAAGTAGATTTCCCTTTTTCAAAGCATTTTGAACAAAAATATACTTAGTTTCTCTATATTTTAAGGGAATGCAGCATTTTTTAAGTCAAATTTCATTGTCAGAACTAGTTTGTTACATCACAGCTTATCAGCCTATTTAAAGTATCCTGCTATTTCCTTTCAGATTCACCAATACATGAGGGAAAACTTTAAACTACAAAATAAGATATCTGTGTGTAATTATGAAAATACTCTTAAAAGTAATAATAGATATGAACCTCTTTTCATTTTCATTTGTTTATATTTTACATATGAGTGCTCTGCCTGGATACCTGTATGCAGGCCAGAAGAGGGCATCAGACCCCACTAGAGATGGTTGTGAACCACCATGTGGTTGCTGGGAATTGAACTCAGGACCTCTGGAAGAGCAGCCAGTGCCCTTAACCTCTGAGCCTGCTCACCAGCCCTTATCAGGACCTCTTAAGACTAGTAAGCAATTGATGTGAGTTCTAGAGAGCTCTTCATGTTTCATGACAAGCACTTTATCAACTGAGTCATCTACCCAGACCTCATTTGACCTTTAGAATCATAAAACTATAAGTTGGAATCCAAGGTCTGTCAGGTGTTTACAACCATGAAAGATTAACCTGTCGGAATCTGAGTATTTTCACCGGTAAATTCATTACTGAGTTCTAAAAGGTGGCCATAAAGTCGAAAGTACTTGAGAATAAGGACGAAGAGAACAGAATGTCTGCAGCTACGCGCACCTCAGACATTTTAGCTCCAGCTAGCAATCTTGCCCATGCCTCCACTGCCCTGCCACTGCGCCACATCGAACCGATCTCCAAATAAAGGCCACTGACGCAAACACCGTATGCAGTGGGGGACAGCCTTACCGTGAATGTCATCAACTCAACCTTTTAAAAATGCCCACTGCTGCTGCTTCCGAAAACATGCAAAGTATCCTAAAAATGTTTCCATAGCTAAGTACCAATATTCGTAAGGATATTCTGAAGAGGAGGCCGATGACATCACAGACTTCTCCACAAACACCCAGAGTACGCTAAGCTGGTTGGTTATGGTGCACGGGCCTATGACCCCGCTGCTTCAGAGGCTGAAGCAGGAAGCTCTTAATTTAAAGCAAGCCCAGGCGACACAGGCAGACCCCATCTCAAACAAACAAAAAGCTAAGCTCATGCAACAAAAGGTGACTCGACCACAGTGAAGCATACAGAAAGTGATGGAGAAATTTAAGGCAGGGCTTAAAGTGTAACACCGGCCGCTGCTACCTCCATGCCAAGCACTAGCATCAACACTTGGGAGGATATGTCACTCATCCATTCAATCCTTACAACAGCTCTGGGAGGCAAGAGCTAGCACGAGCTCCAACTTAAGCTCAGAAAGCAAGTCGGGGAAAAATCTCTGAGAGTTTGGAGTTTGGCACGATATCAACCTATCTGGCTCTTTGCCAAAATGTATGTACTTACAGTGGATGTAGATTTTAAAAGGTTAACCTCGTACTGAGGAGATGGGGGACCAACCTGGGCTACACAGTGAGGACTGTCTTAAAAATAAAACTGAAAACCGTTGACCTCAGTGAGGGGTGTGTCTGGCACATACAGCTGGCATAAACTCAAACCTTAGCTTTTCGTGCGCGCTTTTCTCGGGAGCCTGGCTGCAGGCAAATGATAGTGAGGGCACTAGATATCTGCTGTACTGTTTTGGATTTTTCTTTTAATGCTCAAAAATGGCAGGAATAACGCCAAACATGTGGGGGCTGGCAACTGCTTTGTCTACGTGCCATCTGAAGTATTGGGTCCAGTTGTTACCTCTCATAGAAAAAGATGACGCCTAACTGTGATGAAACTATTCAGAGTGCTTTCGGGGAAAAGTCTTACTTGAAATAAAGAGAAAGTCTTTCTGTAAGATCCTGACTCTAAGGCCAGGGCTGTCAGTGAACCCCCGCAGTCTCTGCACTCAGCACTGAGGCTGAAGGGCTACAAGTTCCAGGCCAGCCTGGCCTACCTGTTTCATAAAACCATAATTTGAATGGTTAATTTAATTAGTGTGACTATAAAGCTGAACAAATAATTATAGTTATTATTATAAAAATATATAAATAATTATACTTATTATTATATGTGAATTTAATAATGTGTGGACACATGTAAGAAAGAAGATAAAACTATTTTATTCAAAATAGTAGTGAGAAAAACATTAAATCATAAAGCATGAGATGAGGGAAGGCCTGCTCTATCGTTCCGAATTCCCGAACAGAGCCGTCGGAAACACGCATGCCTTTAAAACAAGGGAGGCAGCAGGGAGATTCCGTGATTCAGCAGGTGGCACACATAAGGAAACTATCAGGAGAAAAATATGCTGTCGTTTCAATGGAAATGTAGCCAAGGGGCACGAGGGGTTAGGGGAGACCGTTCAGACAGTCCAGTGCTTACCATACAAACCTAAGGACCTGAGTTCAGATCCCCAGTGTGGCATGTGTCTGTAATCCCAGTGCCACGAGGCAGAGAAAAGGGTGTCCCTGGGGCTCACTGCCACTCAGTCTGGCCAAACTGATAAGCTCTAGATTCAGTGGGAGACCCTGCATCCAAAAATGGGGATAATACCCTACCTTGACCTCTGGTCTACACACATGCACGCACACACTCACTATATTGCTGACACACTAGCACACAGATGAACACATGCATACATATGAACATGTACACTTGTACATAAATGCCTAGTAACTTATTGAAACACAAATCATAAATATTAAGATGTGAAAAGACAAATTATTGGGCCTGAAGGCGAGAAATAGGGGAGTCATATCCAATGTTGTATTTTATTTCCTTATGTCTGTTTGGAGATAGGGTCCTTAGGCAAGGCTGACCTCAACTAGCTAAAGAGCTAACCATGATATGGCGCTTTTGATCCTCCTGCTTCCAAGGCCCGCATGCAGGGACCATGGGCATGGACCACCACTCCTGGTTTATACGGTGCGGGGAAGAAGCCCAAGGCTTTGCATGATCTAGGAAAGCACTATACCAACTGAGCTACATCCAAAGCCTGATTTGTCCGTGTTCATGTAAAACAAACAAAAAACCACAAGAATCAAAACACAATAAGCATTCGTCTGTTGCCTAGACCCAAAAGATGCTGCTTCTGCATCTCTGTGGTCATTTTGTAGCCAAAACAGAAGGTTCTGAAGCTACATCATTGAATCCTAATATTCAGATGCTGTCCCCATCTGGGTGTGACTGTGAGGGGAAGGAAGGGCTGAAAACGCATCAGGAGCTCGGTCAGTCTCTCTGTTAAGGTCTGGCTCTGAACCCCGGAACTACTCACCACTCCATCATCACTCCTATCACGTCGGAATCCAACAGACTTCGGCCTCTCTGTGCAGTACTTTCACTCTTGAAAGTGAAAAGTTATAGAAGTGTAATTACCATTCACTGTGTAATTTTAGCACGTAATTGGAAAGAGATTTTTTTTTTTCTCTAAAGCATCGGAAGAAACATGTAACATACCATCCAAAGCATATGCTAAGGGAGGGGGAAAATAAGTCGAAAAGTAAGGCTATAAAATAAATCACTTTATTTGGTTTTTGTTTTGTGCTTGTTGAGACAAACCTCACTCTGTAGTTGAGACTAGCCTCAAACTCACAGCAATCCTCCTGCCACAGCCTCCCAAGCGATGGGATTGTAGGCATGAGCCACCACAGCCAGCTCCCTCTTTACCAATCAATCCACAGCCGGTATCCAAAACCTCTAAGGAAGTTCCAAATCGTGCCATCAAATACCTCCTCCATGGTTACTGTCGGTTTGTTCTTTTATGCAGCTGCTGCCCAACTTTAAACAACACATGTGGCCAAAGCCCTTTTCTATGTTGAGAATAGGACACACTGGGAAACTCACTTCCCGGCTCAGGGGAGCATGGATCGGCAGAGGACGGAGGCTGGGGCAGGCGGAGGAAGACAGCAGGTCTCCGACACTGAGCATTACAGCATGCGGTCAGCAGTCCACATACTGTGTGCTAACACAAGGGGTGCAAAGGCTCTTGGGGTGAGGTTAACTTTGAAAGTTAACTTTGCCAACTGGAGTGGGTGGCCAAGCAAGGTCCAAAGGAGGGTGAGCCCTACACTTCCAGCCACGCAAGGAAACCCAGCATTCCCCCGGGCTGGATCCTGCCCAGCAGTGATTGAACAAAGACCACGACCGATAATCAACAGGTACTGTCCAACCATGCTGCCGGTAGCCTATCCTTTGCGGGTATTAACAATGCAACCGCAAGAGCCGCCGCATTACTTAAGGGTAAGTTAAATGTTTGGATGTTAAAAACTTCTTTGAAAACAAAAGCGTAACGTACACTGTAGGCTAGTGTTTAGATCCTTAGGCAATCCCATGCAGAGGTACCCTGCTTGGTTCCCACGGACTTCATTACAGTCATTACCACTTTAAATTGTAATTGCGTGTGTGCCTGACTTCCCCGCTAGGAAGACAATGTGGCAGCACAGTTCCTGTTGGCCCGTCTCTGACAGTCAATACACAGCATAATGTCTGGCATTTTGACGGGTTCAAAATTATCTGCTCAATAAACGGAGTGCTAAATTATAACAATCCAAACCTGACTGAAGATGGTCAAAAGTGAAGGGGGAGCCTTTACATACATGATGGTTAGCAACGTCTCAACTGCCTCATGGGAGCCATGAATGAACTGCTAATGCAGGCAGAATCAATGAATCCTGAATGCATTCTGCCAGTGCGACAACCAAAGCCATTTACTCTACCGCCATGCCTCACCCCATTTCTGTTCTAAGGAGAATGGTACGAGAAAACAGACTGGAAACTGGACTTTCATATGGAGCTGGAGGGTGAGAATTTTGTTTCCCTAGCATTTAACCAGACATGAAGTAATACCCAGTCTAGCTCTGACAAAAGCTGCAGTTTGCACAAAATAGCTGAAGTTTGGATCCTAATCTTAGAAGGAACTTCATAGGGCTATTCAGACCTCAGGTTAAACACCAATGCTACCCTCTCCCATTGGAAAAGGTAGTCATCGAAGGCATTTTACAAATCCCTCACTAACACCCAGTCTGAGTGCCCTGACCCTCCTAAGAATCCGAAATCTTTCTTGTTGGTTGTATTCCCAGTACAGATTAAGAAGGACCTGGCATTTTCTTTCTTTCACTAACGCCCTTTCCTTACGCCCTCTCCTGGGCTTAGGAGAGCCACACACAGCCTGATACTGACAGTGTCTGCATGACCTCATCCAGCCCTCACAGCAGACTCAGGAGGTCACACCTACTGTCCACGGCTTATAGATGCTTTGGAGTCATTAAGCACTGTGCACAAGCTCTACAGCGGGGGAGCCGCAGCGGCAATGCGAACAAGGCCTGTGTCTAGGAGCCCTGCTCACTGTTTCCTGTTCTGCACTTTGCTGGCTCACTAGCGTTCTCTCTCTCCCTCTCTCTCCCTCCCTTTCTCTCTCCCTACATCTGTGTTCTCCCACCCTTCATTAATATACAGACAGACTGAGCTTCACAACTGTGTCTCTGTGATTTCATCTCGTCATCAGATTATTTTTAATAATATATAAATTTGTCAACTTTATCATAGCTAAAACAATTAAACCATTTTCATCCATGTATGTATATACAGTATGCACACACACACACACACACACACACACACACAACATGATGGTTACCAGTCTTTGTCGACTAGACTGGCTTTAGAGCAGCGGTTCTCAACCTTCCCGATGCTGCAACCCTTAAATACAGTTCCTCATGTTGTGGTGACCCCCAACCATAAAACTATTTTTATTGCTACTTCATAACTGTAATTTTGCTACTCTTGTGAATCATAATGTAAATATCTGACATGCAGGGTGTGTTTTCATCGTTACAAATTGACCCAAAGCAGTCTCAACCCACCAGCTGAGAAACACTGATTTAGAATATCCTATGAGATGTGCTCCTGGGTAACTCTGATGGGTGTGTCCAGAGAGGATTAGCTGAAGAAGAAAGAGCCATCAGTGAAGAACACTGTCCCACAGGCTAGAGTCCTTGATGGGATAAAAAGGGAAGAAATGGAGCCTGGGGAGATGGAGCTCTTGCAAATTGCTCTCTGCACAAACACAGAGACCTGAACTCCATCCCCAGCACCCACGTGAAGAAGCTGGGTGTGGTGGGGGCTGCACAACTGCAATCCCAGCAGTGGGGCGACAGAAGCAGGAAGAGTCTTAGGGCCTGTTGGCCAGTTGATCTAGCTGAGTCCGCAAGCTCAGACTTTAGTGAGAGACTCGGCCTCAGAATACCGAGGGGGTGACTAAGGAAGACACCTGACACCAATCTTTGGCCTCCATGTGCAAGCACGTGTATACGCACGCATGCACAGACAATACAGTTAGTACTTTGGATTTTTGAGAAGAAAACGGAGAAAGCCAGGCGGCACAGACTTTCTGTTTCTCGACTGCCGGGATGTGAGCAAGCGGTTACCGGATCTGCTGCCGCGGCCGTCATGCCTGCCACCTCTCCTTCCCGGATGGACATGAAGAACTGCCGCCTCAAATCGAGTCAACCAAATCCTTCCCCAGGTTGCTTCTTGTTATTGTTTAGTCACAGCAACAAAAAAGGTTAACTAGCGCACATAACGCAACAGCAAACATTACTCAGAAACCTACATAGGCACCTTTGCTTTTGAAATGCAGTGTTGGTCACGAACCAGCCTGAGGGAGGCTCAGGAATAATGCAAGTCTTTGATACTATAAACAGGTGCTCTGCTATCAGAAAAGACTAGGCTTGCGGTAAGTACTCCAATACACATACACATACAACACCATGTCAGAAGCCATGTGCCACGCGGTTAGAAAATATTAATAAATAGTAGTGAGGACACTGAAAATTTTATTCATAGGAGCCAGGGCGATAATATGACAGATTAGCTAGCACCAAGCGCTGGCAACAGGATCTCCTCACACTAATTTCCTATATTCTTTTAAAAATTTATGCATTTTACCTTTACAATCTCACATATGTCTGCCTTGCAGAGAGAACACCCTCCCCTCCCATCTCTCCAAAAATCTCTTTTCGGCTCTTATGTCTCTTCTGGTTTTTTTTTGTCTGACCTAAGGTTAACCAGGACTATCCATGTGCCTCGTGGGCTCAACACAGGGTGACAGCGTATACAACTATAGATGGTGATCCCCTCTCCAGAATATAGGAGAAGCCGAGAGTACAGAGGTACAGAGTGGAGCCCTGTGATCCCTGCCCCCTTCCCGGACTGACTGATGATAAGGTCCACTTTATGTGGGCTCAGTGTATGTTACTATAATCGATGTGAGTTAATGATTAAATACTTTTGCAGAGTCTAGGGAATACTGTTTTTTAGCCTTATCTCCTGGCACTTACATAATTCCCTGTACTGTGTTTTTTTTTTTAATTTTTATTTCTTTGAGAATTTCATATAATATATTTTGATCATATTCACCAACCTACTCTCACCCCCTTCCCAGCCCGCCCAACTGGTATCCTCTTGGGTTTTTTGTTTCTAAGACCACCAGGGACAATTTGTGCTGCCCATATACCCTTGGACACACTGCCATCCATTGGACAATAGTTGCCCTACCAGCAGCCACACAAAGAAAACGGACTCCTCTCTACCAGAATTCTATTTGTAGAGTTTAGTTTTTCTTTTTCCTGTGAGTTTAGTTTTTAACTATTTGAAAATACACTTCAAATTGAAGGCTCTACAAATAACTCACTGGCTAATTTATAGAGTTTACTTTGTCGGAAGGAAATTCTCACTTAGCACTGCCTCTTTAATACAGGCCTCTCAAGATGTCTAATAAGCCATAAGGCATGACTCCAGACCAACAGCTGAATGGATTTTCAGAACAGCCTGGGCCACAGCTGCCGCTTTGTGCCAGCGTCCCAATTAACATGTGATACGCCAGGTACGTACCCTGATCAACAATAGGATTAGTCTTCTCAGCTGCCCATCTTGAAGCTTTGTCTGACTCATAAAAATATAAAGAAATGACCCAAGAATTCCAACTTTCAGATGCTCTTCATCTGGATGAGGGGCACGTAAAAATGAAATTTCAAGCTTCCTCTGCTTAGAAAACATGTTTAAGCTGGGAGCAATGGCACACGCCTCTAATCCCAACAGTCAGGGAGGCAGAGGCAGGCGGATCTCTGACTTCAAAGCCCGCCTAGTTTACAAAGTGAGTCCAGGACAGCCAAAGCTACGCAGAGAAACATCCTTTCCCTATTAATCTTTCCCTATTACTTTCCACAGAAGAACGAAAGAACGAAAAACTTCTGAACTTACGTCCATCAGAAAACAGACATTCTTAGATTTCAGAATATAAATTTCATAAAATAATTATTTCCTGCAGATCAGTCCCTGAGAGACTACTATATTTTTACAGTTGTTACATTTTTACCCCAGAACTTTCAAATGGAAATTAAATGAAGAAAGGGAAAAAGTAAGAAAGAAGATCAAACTGGTTTATATTTTAATGCAGAGTAGCAAGTACTCATTAAAATTAGTTTATTGGAATAATCGTCTAAAAATATTGGTCAAAATTCTGACAGCCAAAATCTGCTTCCAGCAGAGACTTTAAAATGCTTTGCCCTACAGGTTCTTTGTAAGATTCAAAATTTGTGACAGCCCTCTGTTCCAAAGAGCTTTTATACGGGATTTTATTTATAAATATTTTCTGAACTCAGACAGTTGTGAGGGGTTCTTGATGCTGTACTCAAACATGACACATTGTGGTTTCTTCAAGGTCACAGCAGACGTCTCCTCCTTTACATTCAGACCCTCTTCTCTCTCGCTCAGTTGTCTGGCAGATCTTTGCTCCCTGCTTGAGCTTGTAATGTGAGCTGGAGAATACTGATCCACTGAGTTTCAATGCAACGTCATCTTATGACATCAAAACTCACCCCCATTACCATCAACCCCATCTTCACTAGAAAGGCTTTTACTGTGGACCAGCCAGGAACAGGAGTAACGTTTGGGATCCTGAAATTGTTCTGTATCTTGACAGTGATGCTACTTTTGCAGGAAAATTACGAATAGGACTTCTTCGGTTACATTATTTGAATATGTGTGGACGTCATGTTAACACATCAGAGAACACGGTTTTCTAAATTTTATATGATGTGACAGATGAAAACAAACTGGGAAACAGTTCATTATATACTCCAGAATCTCCACCCTGTGCACATGATCCCCTGCAATAAAAACTGGGAGAAATGTTTTAAAGTTGGATGCTGGCAAGCTCGTGGGAATATAGTTGAAACTTCCAGCGTTCTTCTTAACCTTTTTGTAGCTGAAGCATGAGTGTGCCACAGCATGGTATTCACAAAGTCTGCCGACGAGTGGAGCAGATCTGAGGACCTCAGGTATGGCAGCACGTGCCCTTACTCCCTTCTGGTCTCTTCAGAGCTGGTGTCCCAAACTTTGCTTCAGAGCCTATGTTTTCATCAGCAGTGCCAACTGTGATACACACTGCGACAAGTCCGCATCTTTATTTTCAAGAAAGCACCCACCTGTATCACTGTCCATTGTTCTTCCAGAAAAAAACAGCTGAAGGAAGGGTAACGGCAACTTTAGACAGCAGCATCTACAGCCGCTCAAGAAGCTTTTCCTCAGGCCAGTCTGATTCAATGCTCGTCAGAAACGCTTCATGGGAACTTTTTTAAAAAACATTTTTTTTTTTTTTTTTTTTTGTCACATGAAGTATTAAAAAGACACTCAAGGATTGAAAAGAAATGTAATTAACGTTTAACGACTCAGCAAGCGTATTCTTATTCAAGCACGGCTTTTTAAAAACAGCTGGATCTGCGGAGGGTGGACAGATGTGTTTGTGGCTAGAAATGCTTCCACTGCAAGCATGAGGACCTGACTTCAAATGGCCAGCACCAGTGTGGAAAGCTGGGCATAAGTCAACATGTGTGTAACTCCAGTGCTGTGGGCAGAGATGAACGGGCAGATTATCCTGAGAGCTTTCAAGCCTAGCCAACCAGTGAGCTTCAGGATCCACGAGACCTGCCTTAAAGTAATAAGGCAATAAAGGACACTGGCTGTCCTGTGCTGGTCTCTGCACAGGCATCTCACACTCAGACAGGACAGAGACACATGATCACACACACACACACACACACACGCACATCACACACGCATCTCACACACAGACATGACAGAGACACATGATCACACACACACAGACACACACACATGCACCTCACACACAAACATGACAGAGACACACATTCCCACATACCTGATCTCACACACAGACAGGACAGGGACACACTTCACACAGAAGCACGCACACACAATCAGCTTTTCAAAACCTAGTAAATGTTTAGCGTTTTTAGCTGCAGCTACCCTGATTGCTACCGGCCGCTGCATTTCCGCCCACCATTGCTCTAGCATAACCAGCGTAGCTGCAGGCCCAGTGAGAGGAGCAAATGACGTCTTATATTTTTAGAGAAAATATAAATAATTTTTCCTTCAATGACACCTTGAAGGTATCTAAGGGTCCAACTGCAAAGAGATGGTGAACCTGAAATCGTTTATTAAAGAATTTGAAACCCACAAAGGTATTCATGAAGTTATTAAAACAGTGACTCCCCCGGAGGGTAAACACAATGGAGTGTATTTTCAACTGCAAAACGAAAGTGAAGAGAGTCAGTTAAGGACGTCTCTATCACTAAATGGGTCTTCTCCTAAATGGATCTTCAAGTGGGCATATGGATGTGAGTCATATGAACACTGTCAGCCTAAACGTTTTAACTGTGCTGTTGATCAAACAGAGGTCTGGGCTCAAGGCTTCTGGAAAGCTTTCAGATCTTCCACCCAATGGCGGTAAACAAAACCTACTGGCTGCCCTCCCCCTCCACTGTCGCCTCCTCCCACCAGCTGCACACAGGCTTTCTTTCTTTTTTTATTTGAAGATTTTTTTTTCTGTCTATTTTGAAGATCATTTTATTTGTGTGTGTGTGTGTGTGTGTGTCTGAGAGAGAGTGCGTGCAGGCAGGAGAAGGCATCAAGTCCCCTGGAAAGGAGTTCCCCACAGCTCTGAGCCCCCATGGGTAGCAGCCACAGAACTCAGGTCTGGAGGAGAGCAGGCGCTACCTGTTCACTCTTGGCAGTGCTCCTTCCTAAAAGAGAGTTCACACTCACATACCAAGTAGGCTAGCAAGTAAGCTCTGATGTCATTAAATTGTGTGTATAAGTGAATTTTGTGTTCATAATATTGTAACTTACCATGAGCTTATCACGCCATCGCCCATCACAAGATGAGAGGCACCTGTAAGACTCTGGGTATCAAACTCAACTATTTACTCAGTTACCTCGGCATGGACAGCACCGTCCATCCGCTCATCAGTTTGCTCATTCACGGAGCTCGCAGCTTCCTCAACCGCTGCTGCTGCTGCTGCTGCTGGTTCGAGGAGTTTCCTCTGGTTATCACTGCCCCGCCCAGTGCTTCCCTCCCTTCCGTCGTCAAGTGCTCAGGAGAAGGCAGAATCTTAAGCGGTTAATACAAAACCACTCCAACACTGTCACGTCTCTCAGTTGTTTTTCTTACGCTTATGCTGGGGATAAGCTCTGTCCGCAGGAAGGCTGGCAGCAGAAGCCGCTCCCAGTCAGGAAATGGAGGTCCTCAAACTCCACCCCTAGCAACCTACCTTCTCCAGCTAGGCTCCACCTCCTCCACCATTGGTTCTCAACCTGTGGGTCCAGACCTTTTGGGGGGCCCAACGACCTTTTCATAGAGGTTGCCCAAGACCATAGGAAAACACATCTATTTATGTTATGATTCACAAGAGCAGCAAAATTGCAGTTATGAAGAAGAAGCAACAAAATAATTTTATGGTTGGGGGTCACCACAGCAGGAGGAACTGTATGAAAAAGTTGCAGCACTAGGAAGGTTGAGAACCACTGTCCTAAAAATTGCATAGTCTTTGCAAATGGTGCCACCAGCTGGGGATCAAGTATTCAAACACACACTTATGAGAGATATTTTATATTCAAAGCATAACAAATGGTTCAAATTATGAAACAATCAATTAAAAACTCTGCCAATCAGATACAGTATGTAGAGCTGCCGATGTGTAATTTCTAGCATATACTGTACCAAACTGAGGAATATTCAAAGATCTTTAAAACAATAATATATTCCTGAACTGACTCCCCGCTTCACAGCTTTTGAGGGGTAGGGGAAGGGAAAGGGAGAAGAAGAGGGATGGGTTGGGAAGAGGGAGAGAAAAGAAAAACCTCTAGTTTTATAATAAACTACATTAAAAGCAAGTATCAATTTAAAATTCATATTGTCATTACTTAACATGATGGGTAAGAATATAAAGTACTTGTAATAAGCAAAATATACTTTAAAAGTTAAACGGTACAAAAATTCAGAAGTGGTCTGTGCAGAATAAAAACAGTTACTCTGCGTTAGAGGAGTGTGGGAAAGGGTGGACAGACTTTGAGCCTTCACTACAGCTAGGAAACTTGGTGACCCGCCTGCAGAGAGAAAGGCAGAAAAGACCTGGGGCTGGTAGAACAGAGCCCCCTACTGGCCACTGAGCTCATGAACACTATAGGTTTTATAATGCAAATCTCACAGTATCTTCTGTAAAACTGTAGTTTCCTCCTTTTTCTTAAAAGGGGAAGCGAATGAAGCGACACATGTTCTCTCAAGGCTGGCCTAACACAGAGGAGACTAGAAAAGCCAGCCAATAATCCACACTACAGGGAAAGATCTGCAATTCCCCTCTGTGTGACTGTCGGCAAAACCCGTGGGCTCTAAAAGCTCGTAGACCCTCCTTAAAACAGGATTGGAGTGCTTCAGAATAGGAAACTTAAATCTTCTGTTTAAAACAGACCTTTGGGAGGTCAGCGATGATTTCTGTGAAGCTCAGTAACGAGGACTCAGAAATAAAACTTTTTTTAAACCTTCAATAAACTTCAGAATGTGAGGATTCTCTCCGGATATATTTTTGTCTCTTTCTTTCTTTTTCTGCTAATTGATGTGGAAAGAAACTACACTTTGGCTGAAGAACTTGAAATATTTATCTTCAGGCTACTTAAAGCACATAAGTCAGGCTGTCTTCAAGTTCTCTTTGCTACAGCGCCTCGCAGTTAAGTCAAACAGAGCAGGCTCCTCTGAAAGCCATCCACCTTCTGGCAGGTGGGAGATGATGACTGTCTCCTTAAGAATGCTCTTTTCTTGTGCACTTTCCTCCTGGGAACTAGCCAGAGCCAGTCTAGTCACACACCACGGGCAGCATTCAGGCGTGAGCACAGAACCATCCGAGCGTGGACCTTTGCTTCCTCTCCAAGCTTGTTTTCTTTACAGAGGCATCGAGGTCTGGAGCGTCACAGGCCACCTGCGGGGTTTCATCTTCCGGTGGTGAAACTTGCAGAGCCCGTCAGCACCCACAATTAAAAGCAGCCACCATGATGATGATGATGACTGATGTGGAGCAGTGTGGCCTGAGGCCCTCCCTGGACAGAGTGCTCTCTGCACATCCATGAAATGAAATTTAAGTGAAACAAATTCTCAGCCAACATTTCAAGACCTAATTATGATGCCCAGAGTATGGAAGCTGAGAGAGGAAAATTCTGTGCATACTTTCTACTGCACTGCTACAAAAGAAAAAACAACACACAGAAAGCAAAACCATAGTATTTTGAAAAATAAACGAGTCGAAAATATTCGTTGTAGAAGTGGCGCTAAGACATCAAAAGTAAAAACATGGAATGACGTTTTCAACAGCACTCACCAATCACAAGCGAAGACTCGCAGTGATAATAGCCGTTACTTTGTTTCTTCTTCAACATGGAACAGAGGTCTATCTGGTACAGGATTTCTTCTCCAAATCTGTGGTTGATAAATTGTTCATACAATCCAGGCTCTATTTTTTTCACTCCCTTGAAATGACAAAATAAAACCATGTCAAGCAATCACTTCACCTGGACAGTCAGTTCACCTTTCTATCAGTCTCTCAGAACCTGATGCTACATTCTAGAATCGAGACTGCCTCCAGGCACTTGAAAACAGCTGCCACAAAACTGTTGTGTTTTGAAAACAGCCTCCATGCCTGGGACGGGCTGTATTTGAAGCCATGAGCAAGGTGTGCTAATTTGATGTGGTAGTGCTTGGAGCCTCTCGCATCTTTGAGCCTCAGAACTAAGAAAGCTCGAGATGATTCAGGATCAGGGACGGACTAATCATCTGCAACAGTATGTCTGGGTTCGTCTCTGTCTATCATAGGGCGGGGAAGGTTCTACTAATACTACCTCACTTAAGCCCCTACATAAAGATCACCTGAGGACAAAGCTGATTTTAGCAGGGGCAGGGGGGCCAGAGGCCCTTCTGCATCTTCCTCCAGCTGCCTCTCCTTATTTGAACACAGCAGGGCAGCTGCATGCTGAAGACCCTCAGCAAGGTACTCTTGGTACTACTGCGGTTTCCCAGGAGAAAGAAACACCTCCTTACCCAACGTTACTCATTGTCTTGACACTCCAACCTCAGAGTCTCAAGACACAGTCTCGGAGTTTTACTTTCTTATTAATTTTTACCTTTTACTAATGAAATTTCCCCCTATTGCTAATAAAAAATTTATAGAACATTTTAAATAAAGACAGGAAACCATGTAATTTTGTTCTGTTTCATTTTTTCCTATGCAAATAAAAATGACTTTTTACTTTTCACATGAATATAGTTTTATCCTCGGTGCTCCTTAAAAAACAGTTTCATTATTTTAGTAAGTCAATAATAATATACAGATTGAAAGATGTTTTGTCTCTATGTGTTCCACTGTATGAAGCATCACATTATTTATCCACTAGACTTTTGCCCTTAATAGCTAATGGTATAGTAAGACACTCTTGTATTCTGTGTTTACACTGGCCTTAACTGCTATTGTCACCCCACTTACAGCCCTTTCCAACTCAGTTTGGGAATTCTATTCTACCTGCACAGGCTGAAAACTTTGGGACAAAAATCCAACACCCCTTCATAATAAAAGTCCCAAGGAGATTAGGAATACAAGGGACATACCTCAACATAATAGAGACAAGAAATTCAAAGCATTTCTACTAAAACCAAGACCAAGACAAGGCTGTCCACTTTCTACATACCCAATCAATATAGAACTTCAAGTATTAGCTAGAGCAATATGAGAACTGAAGGGGGGATGCATGGGAAGGAAAGAAGTCAAAGTATCTTTATTTGTAGATGATACGACAGTATGCATAAGTAACCCTAAAAAGTCCACCGAGAACACCCTTCAGCTGATAATCACTTTCAGCAAAATAGCAGGATACAAAATCCATAGACAAAAATCAGCCCTCCTAAATACACATGAGAAAAAATTCAGGGAAACTACTTTCACAATAGTTTAAAAAATACTTAAATATTTTGGGGTAACTCTAACCAAGAAAGTACAAGGTAATTAATTTAAAAAAAAAAAACAAAAACCAAAAAACAAAACTGAAGACAGTAAAGAAAGAAATCAAAGAAGATGCCAGAAGATGGAAAGAGTGTCATGGGCTGATAAGATTAATAAAGTAAAAATAGCCATACTACCAAAAGCAATGCAGGTATTTAGTGCAATCCCCATCAAAATTCCAACACAATTCTTCACAGAACTTGAAAGGATAATTTTCAACTTCATATGGAAACACACACACACACACACACACACACACACACACGCCAAGATAGCTAAAACAGTCTTGAAAAAAGCAAAGAATTGCTAGAGGTATCACTATTCCCAATTTCAAGTTGCACTACAGAGCTATAGTAATAAAAACACTGTGGTATTGGCACAAAAACAGATATGTTGATAAATGGAATTCAATTAAGACCCCAAAATAAGTTCATACACCTATGGACATCTGATTTTTTATAAAGAAACCAGAAACATAGACTGAAAAAAAAAAAAAAAAAAAAAAAGAGAGTATCTTCAACAAACGGTACTGGTCAAGTTGGATGGTAGATCCATATTTATTACTCTGCACTAAACTCAAGTCCGCGTGGATCAAAGACCTCAACATAAAACCAGATACACTGAACCTGACAGTAGAGAAAGTGGGGAACAGTCTTGAACCTATTGGCACAGGAGACAACTTCCTGAATAGAACACCAACAGCTCAGGCATCAAAAACAATTAGTGAGTGGAACCTCATGAAACGGTAAAGTTTCTGCATGGCAAAGGTCACCATCATTCGGATAAAGCAGCAGACTACGGAATGGGAAAAAGTCTTTACTAACTACACACCTGATAGAGGGCTAATGCAAAAATTATATGAAGAACTCAAAAAATGGACAGAAGAAAAAATAGCCCAATTTAAAAATGGGGTAAAATCTAAACAAAGAATTTTCAAAAGAAGAAACTCAAATATCTGAAAACACTTAAATGTTCAACATCCTTAAGTCATCAGGGAAATAAAAATCAAAACCACTGTGTGATCCATCTCTACACAGTCAGAATGGCTAAGATCAATAACACAAGTGACGGCTCATGCTGGCAACTGTGGGGTTAGGGGAACACACATCCATTGCTGGTGGAAGTGCAAACTTGTGCATCAACTGTGGAAAGCAATATTGTGGCTTCTCAGGAAGCTGGGAATCGAATTACCTCAAGAACCAGCTATTCCACTCTTGAGCATGTACCTAAAGACACTTCATCTTATCACAGAGACCATACTCAACTATGTTCATTGCTGCTCTATTTATAATAGCCAGAAATTGATAATGACCTAGGTGTCCCTCAACTGATGAACAGATAAAGAAAATGTGGTACATTTACACAACGGAATATTACTCAGCTTTTTTTTTTTTTTTTTTTTTTAATGAAATCATGACATTTACAGGTAAGTGGTTGGAGCTAGAAAAAAAATCAACCTGAGTGAGGTAACCCAGGCCATACAAAGTAAAATCTGGTCAAAGGTCCAGGTCTGTGGAAGACAAATGTGGTATGTATTCATTTATATGTCAATTTTAGCTGATAATTCATCAATAAGCAAGCTACAACCCATATAACCACAGAGATTAGGTAGAGAGTTAGGGACTTAGGGCGGGGAGAGAATGGATTTCCCTAATATGGGGAAATTGACAACATAGTTATGGATGAATGAGGGTAGGGACAACTGGAATGGGAGGATCAAACAGTGACGGTGAAGGAAGAGGTGTTGAGAGAAGAAATACAGAATAAAGGAATACAGATGAAACTAAGCCATACGTACATTATGAAGACAATCTAAATGAAATGGCCTAATAACGGAGGGCATGAAGCATCCCTCACCTCCAAATGAAGTTTCCACCGGAGGAAATGAGTTTCATCTCATTGGGTTCTTGGCCAAAAGGGCCTGCTGGGAACTCCCAAGAAACCCAAGGTACTTCCAGAGCTATTGGTCGTTCTCCGCAAGCCGGAAGTAAGGCCATTTTGCTGAAGACAACACCTACACAAATGTGGAGAAGTCGAGCTGGTGGCTACCTACAACCTTCATTTGTACTGACTACTGTTCAGTACTGGGAGGTGCCTTGCATGCTACCAAAGGATAAAGGTAAACACCAACCCAGCTACAAATCCTTCGGTATATATACCATGATGGCCTGTCTGCAAGGTACAATAGTGGCACAGAGCTTTTGGGAGTAGCCAACCAATATGTGATCAGATTTAAGGCCCACACCAAGAAATGGAACCCATCTCCATCACTGCCTGGATAGCCAAGGACCTGCGATCACACAGGCCAGGGACCAAGGGGACAACCAAATACTACTGTTCTGCTAATGCCACAGTTCTCAACACATGGGGCACAACCCTTATGGAGATGACAGAGCAGATACCCTGCATAGTGGATATCTACATTATGGGTCATAACAGTAGCAAAATTACAGTTATGATGCAGCCATGAAATCAATTTAGGGTTGGGGTCACCACAACATGAGGAACTGTGTTTAGGCTGACAGCATTAAGATGATTGAGAAGCACTGTGCTAAAGGAACACAGCAATAAAATGACTCGCAAAGACATTCTGCTGTACTGAAAGTCTTTGCCTTCCCTGGCCTTCATCTGAGAAGCTTCCTCCTGAAGTAGAAGGAGACCAATATAGAGACCCACAGCTGGACAATGTGCAGAGAATGAGAGACCTTGTAATATTCAGCCCTAAACGGATTATCTCCAGATCTCTCTCCTCGGGGCTCAGGGAACCCTGCGGAACAGAAGGCAGAAAGACCGTAAGAGCCAGAGAGGATGGAGGACACCAAGGAATAAGGCCTCTAGACACAGCAGGATGTGTGTTCTCTGTCCATTTGGCTGATGATATGTTTATCCAGACTCCTTTAATTTTTTTTTTTCCAATTGGCCTTTGTAGAGGTTAGATTCAGGTACTGAGGTTACTAACCATCACTGTGTGGGGGCTGATGTGTGCTTTTAGAGCCAAAAGAGGTTTTGTTTGTTTTTAAATAAAATTGGGTGTCTATTTTTTTTAAAAGTTCTAAGAAAATGGAAACAATTTTACTTGTCTTTTAAATGTTTTTCTCTGTGTGTATGCATTTATGTATGTTTGTGTGGGGGTGCATATGCATGTTTGTATGCAAATGTATGTGTATGCCTGTGAGCACATGTATAAATTCCTCTGTGTGTGTATATGCTATGCCCAGTTTGTGAGACCCCCAAAGACCACCAGCAATCGACTCTGTTGCAAAATACATGAGGATCTTTTTATTATAAGCTCGAGCCTGGGTCGCAGCATCTCCCTGATTCAACAGAAGGAGTGAGGTCCTGCTTGCAAAACCACAAGCGGAGTATTACATGCCTTGGCATTACATGATTGGATAAGGGAAGCTGACTTTTGAAATGATTGGTTTACTTTAGGCGCCAAGTCCATAAATGGTTCCAGCCAGGCCATGCCGGTTTCCT